CTATCCTCATCTTTGACATTAAATTTGGTTTATAGGTCTTTCAAATTAATTAAAACAATTTATTTATTTTCTTTTTTTGAGCAAGGCAATACCAAAGCAGTATTGTCAGTACTACTGTATACATCAACTTTTCTTTCTTGGGGGCAAGGCTTATTTAAAGCATTATCATCACATATTTTACTGTTTTGGGGCGATTAGATTTTTGTCAATCAGTACTCTTACGTTTCTTTCTACTAATGGCACTCTTACTAGTACTTTGTACATGACTTACAGACACCTTGGCATTCTTACTACAAGGTTCACCATCATCAATTATACCAGTCACTTGAATCTTTCCCTTCTTTCCTTTATTTTCTTGATTTTAGGTAAGTCTTTTCGAAATTTACTTCTCAGCCAGTTAATTTCATTAATGCACAGATTACTAACTTTAAGAGAGAGAGGATCAAATGATAATAAATGTAATCCATTTAATGTGCGTACACGAGACAATGCAACATATGCCATACCATCCCCAAAAACATCAGTAGATTAATCAATAATGGCTGTATCTAGTGAGAGGCCCTGACATTTATGCATAGTAATAGCATAAGAAAGTATAAGGGGAAACTGTTTCCTATGTATATACAAATTCTTAGATAGCATAAATCTAGATGTAACCCTTTCTATGTCACAAGGTACATCAATATGATCAAATTTGATTGATATACGTGTAGCATAAATACCCATTACTGTACCAATGGCACCATTAACTAATCCTACATTCACATCAATATTATGTCTTAGCATTACTCTACAGCCTACTGCTAAATACAATACAGTTTCTAAACCAGCTGTTTTGCGTGGTTGATCTTTTAGTTTCTCTAATTTTTTTTGTTTTTTGTCAAATTTTGCTGTGCTGCCACATTCATCAACAACATCAACACATGCTAATTCTATTTTCTCAATTTCTAGACTTTCTAACATTAATTCATTGATTTTTTGGCAGGCGTCAATCCTAGAAAATAGGCAAATTGGAGGATTTGTTCCTTCACTTTCCAATTCCTTATATTCTTCTTGTATTGAAACCTTAAATACGCGACTCTTAAGCATATCAATAGTTTCATCAGTCAGACTGTAATGCCTAACAGATTCAAGCATCTTAAAGAAAGTTTCGTCTCCTTTTTGTCGCTCATTGATTGTAAGTTCATCATATTCTACTGTTTCTTTCTATATGTTAACTGCATTTGCTACTCCAAGTCTTGTTTTTACTAGTTTGTTGCTAATTTTTTAAATACTGGTCTACCATTAACTTCTGGCAATTGTAAGACGTCACCTACAAATAAAATTTTTTTGGATCCAAACCATTTATCAGTTTCAAATATATCTTCCATGTGCATGTGTAAGTATGCTAGATTTACATTGGATACCATAGATACCTCGTCTACTATTATAATTTTTAAATTTTTAAGTGTCATTTTTATCCTTTTCTGAGCTTCGTTACTGAAAGCCCAATATCCAGCTGTCTTTCCCTCATGCTCTATTGGTAGCTAAAATAATGTATGTATTGTTAGTCCACCTACATTAAATGCGGCTATACCTGTTGGTGCTACTATAACACACATAATTTCGCCACTTTTTGGATGCCATATGTTATCCACTAGGCATTTTATTGCCTCTATTAAAAACGATTTGCAAGTTCCACCTACACCACTACTAAACATTCTCAGCAGTTTGATATTATCTAATCTAAGTAGTCTTGAAGACTCAGTCTCTAATAAGTCTTCACGTTCTTTTTGACTCATAAGATGACTCTTATTTTTATCAAAAATTCTTTTTTGATCTACATTAAGCATTGCCTCTCTTTGCTCTAATGTTAAAATAGGTACATTTATATGCATGTCAGCAATATCAGCTACTGCTTCCATTATTTCACCTAGTAATTGAGGCTCATCTTCTTTCTTGTTATCAGGAAGTTCTTCAGTAAAACCGGCTTCATTTCTTGCATCGACTATTTTCTTCCAATTACGTTCAGCTTTTAATAATTTTTTGTACTTTGTTGAAACGATTCTCAATGCCACGTATAGATGCTTCTCTGTGACGCCTAAAAGCTTCTTCCATTGTTTCTCCTTCCATTGTTTCTCCTTCCATTACGAGTGTACTCTTGTCTCTCAAAGGCACAAATAAAAATATTAGCAAGTAATAAAAATTGTCTCTTTCCGCTTCTTGCATAGGATTAAATTTCCTATGGTTTGGAAGGACTGGCTTTGATCGAAGTTTGTATTCTTTTCCTCCATTTTCTCCTATTTTATCAAATTTGTAATTAGCAACAAATTCATAATGAGATACATCTTCCATGTTATTTGGTCTTGTTGGATTAAAGTCTTCAATTATGCTAGGATTACAAATGTCTTTAGAAGATCGATCCATTTTAGTTAAATATGAATTGTTTTTGATTTTTCTGCTCCTCTAATGAGGCAAGTGCACATTAACATACTGTACTGTTACAGATTTAATGTATAAACTTTCACCGAGAAGTAGATCGCTAGCTTCATATAGTCCTACTTCTTTAGCTCAAAGTAATTTTTGTCCGTTTTTCCAAAGCCTGCTATATATGTTGTCACAGCTGCTGACTTCATCCCATAAGTCCTGTGCATGACTCATTTCTGCTTTAGTGACATATCCAGTTACATACTCTGTTAAGGAAAGACTCCTCTCAGCTATGTATTGCAAGTCTATATTTGCACGCCACAATTTCAACAGTAAAGGATTGTAGTCGTTGAATCAAACTTCTTTTTCCTTTTGTTTGAGATAATATATTTTATTGCATGATTTTAAGCTATTTTCAAAATCATTGATGCAAATACTATCTCGCACTGGTCTAGGAAAATCAAATCGGCATCTAGATATATAGGTCTTGCCGACTTTAGTATTTTGTTTGCAGTATTTGCTGCACTTGTGCATTTAGTATTTTGTTACCAAGAAATTTAAATCAGGTGACGTATTACTATCTGGTATATGACAGGTAATTCTATCTTGTATGAAAGAACAGACTTCTTCTGGATGATCAATATCGACAACAGGAGCATTTTGAATCCATAGGAGGATGTGATAATGAGGCGCTCCACGCATTTGATATTCTTTTTTATCATAGTATTGCTCTAGTTTGCCTAGAACACCTCTCTGGAGAATGACTATGTTAAAGAAATCCTTAAATTTGTATGAAAATTGTCTCGATACTGAAACAGGGTCCTCAGTACATAATCCAAAAATACTATATGATTGGGCGCATTATTTACTTTTCATAAATATTGTGCTATATCAGTTGAATCGTATTCAGCACAACTAAATGTTAGGAAAAGTGTTGGTGAGCCATACTTAGTAATCATTGCTTTGACTTTACCTTTCACGCCGAACCAATTTTGATTTGTGCCCCGTATTGGAGCCAACATGGTACTTAAATTGCCCTCAAATTCTTCATCAAACACATTTATTGTTTTTAATATTTCAGCAACAGTTTGACCTACGTTGCCCCTTGATTTTTTTAATAAATTATATATGCCAGTTTTTAAGGCCTTGTTAATTTTTAATGCATAATAGTGCAAACAATTATGAACGATTTCTACGAAATCGGGAATTTTTGTTTAAAGTTCTGGATTTTATGTATTCACTAAATGATAAAGTCTGTGCTGGATAGCTTTGTCTGGGATGATGCTCTCCATATAGTCCAGTAGGAAATAAAGTAGGAAAGCATAACAAATCAAGATGCTCTTGCCTATTGTCAATAGCCGCTTCTTTTACATTCATTAATTTATAATGACTGATATCGGAACCTGTTGCAATTTTACTATCAAGATTTCTAATCGTATATGTGGAAAGGCCTTCTAAATCTTGATCATTTGCTTTTTCAAGCATTTTACAAGTAGTATTGCTCACTACTTATATAACATTTTTAGACGATTCGTCAATTGAATCATCATCTAAGTTTCTATAAAGCCCATTTATTTCTTTTAATTTTCTTAGTGCTGCTTTTATTTTATTCACATGAGCTAGGCTACGCCAGACATTATTTGATTTAGTAGGCTGTCCATTAATAATAATACTAGAAACAATGTAGAACATTCAAGGGCTCAGCCTCGTACATTATTAGCTGAAAAAAGCAGAATCTCTACCTTAAGTTGCTGCTAGAAAACTCCTGACTTGTTTTTACTTTAAGCCTTGCTACACTGACTTTAAAATAGCCATAAGATACAAGTAGGCTGGCCAGTTTAGTGCAGTCAGTGACAAAGGTGACATTTGTTTGATTTTCACAGTTTGTCTGAACAAAAATGAGTTTTATAGTTACTTAATTGCACGTGTAACCTTTTCAAGCAGTTGGAGAAGTCTTTGGACGGTGTTTTTGCCTTATCTTGTTGCTAGGAAGTAGGAAAATCATGACTTATGATTCCCATGTGGTGATCACCATTTTATTATCTTTCGGCCACT